AGCTTATCCGACGAGAACAAATACCTTCACCGTGTTTTTACGAAGAACAACTACAACAACGACTTCATCCGACGAAACACTCACCGACCCACTACCACTACCGAAACAAACGACACCGCAACCCCTACGACTACAGCAACCATACCGTACATAAAAGGCATGTCTGAAAACATCTCGCGCATCTTACTACCCTTCAATATCCGCGTCGCCCACAAACCCATCACCACACTACGTCAGTTACTAACCAACGTTAAAGACAAAGACGAACCGAGGAACAGACAGGGAACGATTTATAAGATCAATTGTTCCGACTGCCAAGCCTCCTACATCGGTGAGACTGGCAGAAACCTCACAACAAGACTGACTGAACACAGACGGGCGACGAGGAAAGGTGATGTCAGCAATCACATTGCTGAACACCATCGACTTACCAACCACAACATTGACTGGGACTCTGCGCAATGCCTAACCTACAGCACTGACTATTTTCAACGACTGACTCTGGAAAGCTGGTTTACTAACTTAGAACAGACTCCCCTAAACAGATGTCAACAACTATCCGCTCCATACAAACGACTCATTCATGACATAAACATCACAAACGACTGAAAAAGAACGACCTAACTTTACCGACAGATCGAAACAGACCAATCACGACCGACTTACGTCACTTGAGTCTTACAGCTAATAACATCACGGCAAAACCAACCGATCATTTCACACGAACTGGAATAAGAACATTCTACTGACAACAATCATTCACTTGACTCTGATGATGACTTCCGCACAGGTTGTTGAAACGTCAGTCAGTACCACCGACAACAGTCCTTCCCAGGACTACACTCACCCGGACGATCAGACTGCACCTTCACACTGTAACTTTGTTGATATATCCAAGTTATTTCGTTACTCCCACCGACGCAGCCCCAAACAGTTTCTTTCGAAACTACCAGCCTTTATTCATTTGTATATTTAATAGTTGCATGTATATTTAATAGTTGCATGATTGTTGCACTTTTGTCACAGGGCTTTTGAATCATCTCCTTTATTAAGCTATAGGGAACAAAAACTGACATCAAGATGTTTCCATCGACTTCTTCCTTCTTCTAGCGAAAGTATAGCTGGATTTCTGAAAACCGAGAGAACAAAACTCGATCCGTATTTCTCCTCTCTATTTTCCCAATTAGTGGCTGTATTTATTGCAAAACCATTGGCAGACCGAAAATGCTTCACTCGTCGATAAAATAATGCGGCTTCCATCAAAGATTCGCCGGCTGACGAAAAATCCTTTATATACCGGAAAATCCTAATTGCCGAATATCTACTGAGCTTGTGAGAGGATATCGACGATGGGTCAGTTCTCAGCAATATCGGTCAGAGATTTGTGCTGATCCTACATAGGAAGAGGGCGATTGATTACTTTCTGTATTTTTTTTTTTTTTCGTTTTTCCCTTTTAGACCCCTCACGTCAGACACACTTAAGCTCACTGAAATCTCAAGCCTGTGGTTTTTACTTCAGCTGTCGGCTTCTTCAGTTTCGAGAGGAAGAAACAAAAGGGGAACTCAAATTTAAGATATTTGTATTATACCCAGCTAAAGTAACAACTTCGACTATTTTAGCATCACTACTGGATTGATTCTAATACATTGTAAAAATATTAGATCACCATTAGTTTATCATCTTTATAAGGACTCAGTGGAAACGGAAAGGAAATGGTGAAACAGATTGTTAATATCTTAGTGAATAGAAATAAGTGACAATTAGATATTTGGGATATTCCGGTTACCGTGTTTCCCAAAAAGGCCAAATTTAAAGCCGCCCTCAGATTTTTAACGCTTTTTTCATGTTAGCTCTAAATTGAAAAGACGTTTAGCAAACTCACCGAGAAACGATTTGGTTGAAACACTCATCATAAGGATGCTGCATTTCGGAGTAACTGTCCTTCCTATCTTTTTGGTGATAATGCAAAATCATTTACTAATTTTGAAGGTCTCTTGATATAAGGTTGTACCTCCTGATGATTTTTGAAAAGCGGACAGCTAACATGATAACTTAACGAGTACAAATCACTGTAGCAACCCAAGATAAACAGCGTCGTTGTTTTTTATACACACCCAATGCAACGACATATAAATCGCTTGTGAAGAGAAAATACACGTAAACCAATTGAATTGCTCAATATATTTACAGCCTTAAAAGGACACCGAATGTAACACCACTCTTTATCCTAAAATCGCTTGTGAAGAGAAAATACACGTGAATCGACTGAATTGCTCAATATCTTTACACCCTTAAAAAGACACTGAATGAAATACCACTCTTAATCCTAAAATAAGCTTAAAATTTCATCTGAAAACAAATTGTGTCACTCACTATCACGGCGTAATTTTTGGGGTGAATCCTCAGCGATTTGAACAGGAGAGCCAAGCTGAATACGAGAACATCAGCAGAACAGCTCATATCCATATGAAGGTCGATCATCAGCTCGTCTTTTTTCCAAGCGATAACATCCTTAGTCATTTCTGCCCTTACTCTGAAAGTGATATTAACTAAATTTATCATGTTGTGTTAGTCAGGCTATAACGATGGTAACTTTAACATCTTTTAAAACGAATTGTTTGATAATTTTAAATAACATAAACTTGGTTGTAAAATGAAAAAACCGGTTATCCATAGAGTTGATGAGATCATACAAAAAGCTGGATTCCTTTCCTCATTTTTCTCTCTTATTCTCTCTTGAGTGCGACTAACCAGGAGTCCTTACCCAGAAAGCCTGTATATCGGCTTTGTGGAAACACTAACAATATCACTGTAGTTTTTGCTGTGCAAATGAAGGAAAATCTGAGTTGAACGTAGTTGAATTTACTTTGATAAGGATCTGTACCACTTCAACCCTACTTTAAAATTTTATTTATTCCCTGGTTTACGCAAAAAAGCCTCAATTTATCGCCACGATCAAAGGAGTTCAATCGTGGTGCTTTCGTCCGATCACAGCCGGAACCAAATAGATCCCTGGCAACCTTCTGTTGCTCATCAAAGTTGTCATGGTGCAGAATGAGCACTTAACACCAAAGTCTAAAAAATAACACTAGCGACTAACTACAATGAATCAACCGTACACAGAGAAACATTTATTTTTTACTCAAGTTATAATAAATAGCATTCTTCACCACAATCGGCTTGTTTTCCAGAGAGACAGTCGTTATCTCAACAAAAGTTATTTAGGAAGAAAGCAATATTCGAGAAAATGTGGTTGTTGAGTGGTATGAATTTCTAAAGTGGGGTAGAAATAACCACAATAAGGACGAAGTTTTTCTCTCAAAATTGCCTAGCGACGCGAATAACAAAGTTCGATTCATAAACGCATCAAACAAATTAATACTGTAAAGCCTAAAAAAGGCCACACATAGACGAATATAGGTACTTATTATATATTGCCAAGCGTAATTAATTATTTCTATCCGGTGCTATATAAGTTGTGTACCAATAGCTCTGTCATTTTATGAATTCACATCGTAGGACAATAATGGTCTCCTTTCAGCATTTTTGTAGCGGGTTCCTTCTTCTCTCCTTTGGTAAGTGAACTATGACAGTCTAAGAAGCATGCAGGATACGCACGCACACTCATTTAAGAGTCTTTTTCAAAGTATAGGTTTGTGTCCTTTTGGACCACTGCATTAGCTGGGGTAGAGAACAAAGAATCATATTTAGTACAATAGCTACATGTCGGCGTCAATTAACCACTTCGTTCAACGAGGTTTATCTGCCTGTGGCGCGGCGTTTACGTAAACGGCAAAAATGAACTATTTTTTGCTCGCCTTTCTCGAAATCCTTAATCAAAGCTGTAGAGAGATAACAACAGTCCTCTAACTAACAAATAATTGGAATTTTTCCACTTTCGTTTTACAAACGGCTGAAAGCAGACAGTGAGAAGTTCACGTTTCCCGTTAATGTCTGAATCATGCTTGACTAATTTGCTATTCAATGCCATTGATGTAATGCTGACTTTTTGATTCGGTTCGTTAAGCTAGTTCTCAGTTCTCGATGAGTTCTTTAAGCCAATTCTTAATAAGTTAAAATTTATATCACACGATTCCCAGCTTGCTTTTGTACTCTTTCCTGCTCTTATAAAACTTCTGTGTTACAACTGAACCCGACGTTGAGAAAACAGAGAAAAAAGCAATTCAGTCCAGGGATTGAGAAAACAGAGAAAAAAGCGATTCAGTCCAGCGATTCAGTAATTGAAACTCAGTAACCAGCACTTTTTAATCATGATTTCATTTGCCCAATTTCAAACTTTTTTTCCTTCACTTTCGTTGTTGCTGACCTAGCTCGATAAAGATTATAAAGTTGTAGCTTCGTGGCAAATGTGCTGCTGTTTTAAACGGTTGGTTTTTTTTACTCCCTTACACGGAGTGATTTCACTCCATAAAGTCCTCTAGCTTCAACGATCTGTATATAAACGTCTGACTTTTTCGCAGCTACGCCCATCACTAATTGGTATCAATTGCTGATTTCTTTAAGTTAAGACGACATTGAATGATATTTTGAATAAATCAGACATTCAGGCCTTCCGAGATGAGCAAACTGAACATATTTTGCTTCTATTGTAACCCTTCTCGACTTTGACGTTTTAAGTCCTTAATGTTCAATATTAGAATTCAGGTGACTTACCTCTTTTGGCCAACATTTCATTACAAACAGATTTACTAATATCTTAATCTAAGAAGGATTCAATCGATATCGTCATCTGTTTAAAATATGCCCTACTTCACAGACTGTGGTGGCATCTTTCCGCTTGCTATCCAGTTCTATAAGTCCTCAACACTAACGCTGAGAGTTTTTGAGAGGTACATGTATTTATTATTCGTCTGGTGACAACACTTATTCTAACTCGTATTAAAGTGACTGACTCTGCTCTGACCATAAGTGTTTCCGCAGTAACCTTTGAAAGGCTTCTACATCCCGCCAGCCGAAATATCGTCGACTTTCATGAAATAGAAGATCATAATTCCGTCTTGAAGTCGCATTTTTCCTCTTGGCTTGGTAGAATCTGCAGCAATTGGCATGAGAAGAAATTGATGACAAATAGAAAATCATGATATTGACAGACTTACGAGTCTTATTAAAACTTAGATCTTTTTTAGCGTATCTGCACGCGAAGTTTGCACCCATATTCCCTTCTCTCTCCTTGAATCACCTGATAATGTATCGACTGAATGACTCCGATGTATTATTACCCTTCTAAGTTTTAATAAGACTCGTAAGAATTTCATTGGCACATGGATGATGTAATGCGCGTACTTTTTCAGCTTTTGACACAAGATCAAATACTGAATACATACGTGTGTCTATATCACACACGTAATTCAAATAAGACTTCACAGGTTAAGTTTGCATAGCTTACTTTCAAACTCAAGTTCTTCAGTTCTTAATCAAACTTCAGCTATAGTTCTGATAGATCGATTCTGTTCAGTGAAACTCAAACTTAAATCATTCCTTTGGTTAACATAATTATTATTTTTTAATCTATTTTGGCTAAGAAAACGTTGCATTCTCCACAGCTTTGTTCGTGATCGTGTGTTTTGCTGACGAAGGAGCGAACAAACATGACGATAGTGATGAAAAGATAACAATTCGTGCTAGTAACGTGTCGGCCAGAATACTTGGTCGGTCAGGAAAAATAATGGTTGTACGAAATGAAAAAGACGACAATGATGATAAAGATGGCAAAGATAGTGATGACAAAGACGACAGCGATGGCACAGACAAAGACGACGAGAATGACTCGGAAAGCAAAGACGACATAGATGATAAAAACGACAAAGATAGCCCAGATGATAAAGACGGGTCCGACGATAAAGATGATAAAGACAATGATAAAGATGACGAAGATGATGACGATGACGAAGATTTTACTGATGACAACGAAAACTTGTTAAGTTTTGAACTCGATGAAATCGAAGAAAAAGATGCAGATGACAATGAAGTCGATGACAAACATTCTGTGGATTCCTTTGATGATGTGAAATTCACCTTTGGGAAAGTAAATGAGAAGTCTACGCTCGACGGAATCCGCGTCACCACTGTGAACTTGTCAACTTATCTTGATAATCAAAAGGCTTCACTTGAAATCATAGTGTATATGTTTCATGAACCTGGGAGTGTCAGATTTGGAAATGAGACATTTGCTGTACAAAGTGGAACTGTCAAGTTCAATATTAAGGTAAGTCAGCGTAGCTAACAGTACTGTGTGTGTGTGTGTGTGTGTGTGTGTATGTGTGTGTGTGTGTGTGTGTGTGTGTGTGTATGTGTGTAAGTGTATCCGTTTAGTCATAAGAGTCCCTTATGAAGAGGTATATATATTCCTTAAATGAGTATCAGTGAAAAAGAAAGTGGAAAAATATAGTGGTTATGATAAATTGTTCATATGTGTTTTGTACAAACAGATCAGTAACTGGAATTTCTGTGACGATGACGATTCACCTGGAGAATGTAGTGAGGGCAAAGTAGGAGAATTTCTCGATCTTAGCCTTAAAATAAAGAGCAAGGGATCTCCGAAAGAGGTGGACGAAGATGACCGCAGAAAAAAGGTCTGCGACTCTAAAGATGATGATGACGATGATAAGGATAAAGATGACGATGACGACGATGACGATGACTGCCCCATCATATACGACGTTGGTGGAGACTCAGAACTGCTACTAAATAAAGGGGTAAGTGGAGGGCACTTAGGCGTAGATGTACTTCAAGAGACTCATCTTGGGAACTTTTAAACTACAGTCAATGAAAAAATTAGATATTCCGGATAATAAAAACGATCAACTGCGCATACTTCTTTCTTGCATTCAACGGGACTTTTACTCCAATGGTTTACAACCGCTCGCCAGTTTCTCAATTTTAAGCTAAAAAAGAAAGTTGCACAAGAATTACAGTTAACAATTTGGTCGTAGTAAGTCTTTCGCCTCTTGATTTTTTTGTGTAACACAATGAGGTTAAATGAGAGGTAGCAGTCACGGGGTTATAAATCGCTTTTAAATCAATTTCTGTTTTGTCTTCCCTTTTCCAAGGTCATGATAGACGGTGATGAGTACACTACTATGCCACAAGGATTTCCCAAATTTGAATCCGATGACAATGAAAGGAAGTTCGTGTTTCGTGTCCCGAAGTTTAAAAGACACGTGCTGATTGATCCGAGTGTGAATGTTGGCAAGGTGCTAAAGGAAGTCGTCAGAAAGAGTGCTGCCTCTTGGTTACAGTTCAATATTCCTGTTATTGTTCTGCTTCTCGTTGCAGCTATTTTTACAGCTCAGTGATAGACTTTGAAATAGAACCAGTCGCTTGATTAAGGCCAATAAACGTTGTGGATGTTAAACTTGAAGTATATTTCTAAATTTTCAAGTAGATACATGGATCCGTATGGCGACAATTTGCACACAGCATTCTTTTTAGGGGCTACTCTCAAGTAGAAAAGACAGTCATAATAGCTGTGCTGTTTTTCCTCGTAAAACTCGTATACCGTAAAAGCGCTCAGAATCTGACCAATCGTGAGCAAGTAAGTTTGCCCTCTTCACAAGCAAAATTAAGAAAAAAATACCCTCTTCATTGACCAATCAGCATTAAGTAATTTTGCCCTCTATGTTATTGTACATAAACAGAAAACATGCTTCATCTCAGATTCATCCAGTCGAACTTTCCTTACAAATTGAATGATATAATAATAATAAAATTGAACTCAAAATCAAAATGTACTTGTCATAGAGAAGGCCCACAAACAATGACATGATTTTCGTCTATGATATCGGCTCATGGTCCACGACGTTGCTATGTCAGATTTCTGGGACCTTCTGGGGCGACCTCTTAAAGGAAGATTTTTTTATCAGACAATGATACTCAGCGACATTTAATCACCTACAGTCAAAAAGCTTATTTTTTACCAAGAACTGTCAGATACTACCCTATTAGGCCCTTGAGATAAGTAGCGGAGATGATCTCAGTAGTGATATATAGTTTTTATTTCTACTTAACCCTATGTGTTGTACTGACATTTTCATTTTTCGAAATTATCATCTATATTCCTGAACAAAACGAGAAAAACAGCCGTCGGGTAGTAAGGTGAATACGAACAACTGTTGTTGTTTTTGCCAAAGTAATGCACTGAAACAGACTGTCACTGCAATGCTTTCAGCGAGTTTTAGCTTGACTAAGTACATTAGAGCTAGTCTGGTACCCTTTCTGCTTAAATGAATTTATCCTCCTCGTCTAGGCTTCTAGTTTCATCCCGGCGTAAAGTCCGACACAAAATGTCTCTTAACTACAGTGTTAGTCTATAGGAAAAAAAGGCTGCATTCGAGTTTAAACGCCTTCTGCCAATCCTCTCCTCAAGGGGTGAGTGCACCCAAACATGAGCCCATTGTCATCTATCGTAAGTGCCACTCCTAATCCTATTGGTCCAGACGCCTTCAAGTACCCCAGCTCGGTCACGTTTTGTCCCATCTTACGTACTTCCTGCAACACGTTGTTGGCAACTGAGAACTCTTCTATAGGAACCGCTTGGAAAAAATCTGAAAAGCTGGGCAAAAGAAAAGTAGGGGACTCCATAGCTTCTTTAGGATTCATACCGCTGTCCAAGAGGTTGGTAAAGTATTGTGGAACCACAACGGGATATGATTCTCCTACAACAGACAATGCCATGACTGGTCGCTGGCTTCCGGTTGACTCCTCACCCTTGAATACTATAGCAGGTTGAAGGCCCGTTGACAGCCTTCCCCCAGAAGCTGTCTGCTTGACGAAGGACTTAAATATTGCAGCTGAATGCGGTAAAGCAATTCCTTGCACAAAAAGACCTGTTCCCCACATTTTACTGTTGATGGTGTGAATCATGGAACAAACATTTCCATCCTTGTCGGCTGCGACTACAGAATCTGACCCATGTATAAAGTCTTTTATGTCCTCCTCTCCACCGAGCAGTCTTTTAATTATGGCATTGACGTCTTTCATCTTTTCAGGGGAACCGATCCTCTCCCAAATGGCTTCGGCAGACCCTTTCGAGAGGCGATTAGAGAAATCAAGGCCAAATTTATCCTTCAAGATCGATAAGCCATCAGGGGTCGAGTGCAAGAAAACAGAAACAAAGAAACTAAAGCGAGTGATTGAGGCGAGTCGGAAAAATTCGGTTGCATTGGTGAGGTAGTTAGACCCAGATTTTTGGCCAATTTCCGCCATTACCATCAGATTCAGCTTTTCAATTAGTTCACTTCCGCCGTAGTCATTTCCAGACGTATATACATTGTTTCCATGGTATGACGTATTGAAGGGCTCTTCCCAATGCGATTGATAGCGGTGCATGTCATCTAAGCTAATAAAACCTTTAGCCTCTTTAATCAGAGACGTCATCTGCTCGGCCCACGTTCCATTGTAGAAGAACTCCTTTGGGTTCTCAGACACACTTCGTATAAATTCAGCTAGTTCTGGTTGTTTGAAAAGTTCGTTAAAGACGTATGGTTTCCCAGTCTCAGGATTGGTAAAAATCTTTTCACCTGAAAAAAATAAGGTTCGTATTGTGGATGTTGTCTCAAGATACCTTTCAATAACCTATAACCAACATATAAGGGGTTGGCTGGGCCGGGGCTCCTTCCTTGATTAGCCCATTAAATTAACTTTTACTGAAAATAAGAGAATTACTGACTGATTATGAAAGTTGAATACACGAGTAGAGTAGATATTTACTCGATCCCCTTTCTCCTACAAATAGACACCTTGATTAAAGGAAACTTTAATTTTTTGCATCTTTGTCGAAAGTTTTCCTAGGCCCCTGTGACTTATCTGTTTTATCAGTAAAATAGTATTTCATTTGAGTTACCCATTTGTCATTGACTGTTTGCATCAATATTTTTTATAGTATTTTTTACCCAAGATTAACAACATTATCTTTAAAAAAATTAATAAGATAAGATAAGATAAGATAAGATAAGATAAGATAAGATAATGACTTTATTTTGAGAGGGTGGCACGTAACAGTTTAAGTACAACGGATGACCCTGTGGCCCTCTGCGGTCCCCACCCATCCCACCCCAGGGGAGGACAGTAATCTCGTGCGTGGGAAATTAACGTCTCCTGCACCTAACCCTACAGGAGACGGGACCTCCATTTATTCGTCCCTATCGGAGAAGACTAGAATATCTAACCATTTCTTGATGTCATAGAAAGGTAACAAATTCTTCTCAGTTATTTAAAGACGTCACTGTTGGTCCGGCCAGGGCTCGAACCCTCGACCTCCCGCACAACAGTCCAGCGCTCTATCCATTGACCTAACCGGGAGGCGGTTAGTTCAATATGTGAAGAAGATGGAAGAATACTTTCAGACTTCCATACTTTTACTTCCTTATTTCCAAAACCTCAACTTTTCTATTACCACTTTCCAGTCTCCCTTCAAAACTTCAAACCCTCCACACTTTAGCACTTCCTCTCTTACATACTTTCATATCGCCAAAGTTCTATATTTTCAAAATTCCATACCGCCCAGCTTTAAATTTTAAACCAACTTATAACTTTAAACTTCCACAAAGGTCTTTAGAAGGACCTCCTCACTTCCAAGCATCCAGAACTGGGAGGATCTGGATCTACAATCTCCGTTAATTTCAACTACTTACTTACTACATGTTCTGTGCCCTTTGATATCTTAAGTTAAGTCTAAAACTTATGAAGACTAAGGAATGTTGGGCTTATCAAACGAGGGCTCTCTCTCTCCACAGCATAAAGATACAGCTGCATACCTTCACTTGTTCTCAGCAATGTAATGTCGTTGTAGTACATTTGGATAGCGAAAGCCATTCCAACGGACATCTTAAACCCATTTTCAGCGAAATACAACGCGGGCTCAAACAAAGTGCTGAGAGGAAACTTTGCAAATTTGGCTGCAGCGTCAGCTACCCCTGCAATGAAACCTGGGACGAGAACAGACGCACCATTAGCTTCTGGAGTGTGAACTTTGGGGATCTGGGACGGGTCTCCTTTCAGTGGGGTATTCCAGCCGCCATTGATACTGTACATCTTATTGGATGACTTCTCGTAGTATAGAATTTGCGTGACACCAGCGTACGAAACATAAGAACCAGTAGCCAGCGTGACTTCTGTGAAGGTGAAACGTAGTTCATAGCTTTAAGCATATTTGATAAACTTCCCGGGAGTGACCTTAGTATTCCCACCAACGGTGAAGCCACTCGTTCTTCCTTATTCTATGCGCGATAAGAAGAACGACATCTACAAAAGCGTTCGAACTTTGTCCTAAGATTATTTGGTCTCATTGCGTATTAGGTCAGTCTGCAGATAAACAGAGTCAAATGAAAGAATAATAGGATATTTTCGACAAAACTGTTGATGTCATGGTCATAACTTTCATTTTATGTACATGAGTAATGAGTGTTTTTCGTCCTTTATGCTAATTCTTTAACTACTAAGTTATTTTATCAGCTGCCACAATTCTGCACCGAATAAAATAAGTCTTCAATGCACTGAAAAAAGGGTTATCCTTTGGTTACTTGGGATTTGCCATAATATCCATGACAATGAAGCGATTTGACTTGTGAAACCTCATTCATGTCGCTATGTGACATTTAATGCGAGGGCTGAATTGATTTCCTAACGCAGGGGGCTCTTTACTTAATATACCCCATCAAATCAGCTAAAGTTTCATAGGGCGTTTATCAAACCTGCAAGTGCAGTTGCCAAACAAGCATCCATAGCATTCCCACCCTTCCTGAGAGCATCCATGCCCGAGTGCACAGCGAAAGGTTCAGTTGTCCCTGCCACCATCCCTCTGCCTTCACTAACTGCCAATGGCTTCGGTCGCTCATAGCGGTTGAGCGACATTCTTTCCAAGCGGTCATATTCTTCTTGTGTCCAGTTTGCGGGGGAAAGTGATATGCCACAGGCTGGAGTCCACAAAGGCACCAGCAGTGCGATAGGAAATAGGAAAATGCGATACATTTTCAGCCGGCTAGGAACAACAGTCTGAGAGTGGTTAGACCTTTTACTGACTGATTTACCTAAGAACGCAACCAAAGTCATTAATTTATTTAGTATAAGGTGTCACTGTAAATCGCTCTTCAGGTGTTCAAATGTAACTGGTGGGTATTTATAAAGTCCTAAGGTCACACTTTCCCTAATCGATCTTAGTGAGTGACATGCTTCACAGTTCACTCGAAAACTTGAGCCATTCAGCAAACAACAAACAAGGCGACTTAGCAGTAATTGTCGATAATTGAATGGCTTGCATGCTCTAAATGGCTTCATTCACGCTTCGTTTTAACTTCATTTAAACAAGAAAAGTTCGAGAATAGATTTGGAAAATAATTAAGACTCCAAGACGGAACTCCGAAAAATGTGCCAGAAAGTGAAGATTTCGAAAGATTTTGTCGTTTTGGAAAAAACTATTATGCCACTCACTGAAGTACCTGTCTATGTAACTTCGTTGAAACCGGAAAAACTAATTTTTTGGACAGTGACGAGCTTAATGTTTTAAAAAACTTACGCGTCAGCCGGTTGTAATGCCGGATTCATTATTGAAGCGCCCTAGACTTCAACCACCTCACCTTCACGCTTTTTGAAGCTTTTGATACTGTGGTCGCTGATGATTGACGAGGAAGGGGGAAGGAAGAGGGGAACTTTAAAAACAGATTGAATTTAAAGGAAGAATGAATCACAGTTAAGTAGTACTCATTAGAATACAATGACCTTTACAAAACACCTGGACAGGCTGTTTGTTTAAGTAAAACTGTTTCACAATCAACTAAAAGCCAGTCGTAGAGAAAATTTTTATTTTACATGTAAATGCGTTCATTTTCATGATTCATGTAGAGTGCTGTGGCCACTAAGAGAGGGCATTATTAACTTGATGTACAATTTCTTACATCTTGATTAGTTTGTATCTAATCCGTGAAATGAAACCCAAGTGAAAAGATCGTCTTTACTTTGACGAACGCGCATTCATAACTTGATGCAAGAGGCACCCAAAAGGTGATCAGGTATTCCTTCTTTCATTGGGCGTCATCCAAAGGTTTAGTTCTTGAGGTCCACGAATAGATCACTGACTTGATCTATTCTATTCTTTTCATCATGTCTGTTTCTTGAAGCGATTGACGCCATACATTACCCTAAGGCAGCGAATGGCAGGAAGGGAGACCTTAGGCTGGCTATACACCCCTTCATTTTATCAACACGCGCTCGCTGACTGCATACTATACACTGTTAGTTCGTCGGGTCTAGCCGAACTAAGTTGGGCCAATTTCAACGTCTCTAACTATTCTAATTGAATTTTTTTCGATACTTACGACTTACATTCACTTGCTTGCTACTCGCTCGCTTCGGGACCGCATGTTATATTGAATAACAGCATTTGAATTTAATCCGCTTGTTAGACTTTTATTTAGTTTACATCGGGTGCATGGAAGCTGCCTGGCTAGCCATAACATTTGGTGCAGTGCCAATCTAATAGAAATGTCAACACTAAAACCCTAGTCCAAAGTTCAACCCTTGCTCAGAAACTATACTTTCCCAGTTACCATGGCATGGTCAATAAATATCATCACAACTATGGAGAGGTCAGAACTTGGGACTGGGACTAAAACACACTATTTGTGTTCTTTAATTAAGTCTATTTTGAAATACTTAGCCTGAAATAGAACTGTATGTGATAAACTGTGGGAATGATTATTCAACCTCTAGAATGAAGTCAAATAAGAAAATGAAAAAATAAAATCTCCAAGGCTACCTTTCTGATAAATTGCAGGAATCATTATATTATTCAACCTTTAGGATAAAATCATAAACGAAGATGGAAAAAATTATCCACCACCACTTACTCCAAGGAAAAAAGATTTCACTCCATTACAGAGATTGTTTGGTCTGAGGTTTGAGGTTTGAAACAAGTCTTATACTACATACTACAAACAGAAATCTTAAGTTTGGTACTCATTTATTTTCAGTACATAGCACCTCTCATTAATTTTCAATAATTTCAAACTTAAAACAACTTCCTTTTTTTGCCCTTAACAAGTGCCTGGGTATTTTGTGTGGACATACCACACCGAGGGCAACAAACAGCCAGTTCGTGTCCTGTCTCTCACAGTCTGTATATTACACGTTCAACTGTGTTTTCAAGTCTGAATAAGTTTTTAAAACACTTGAAAGCCTAGATCATGGCCAACAATACAATAAGAAATAAGTCAATCTTCAGAGGTTTCCTGACTATCTGGCTGGCAGTTGGGTGAAGCTTTCTCTTCACTTGTTGTTGCTTCAGGATATGGTATTCCACTAATCTTTAACAATTCTCTCAGGCCTCTATTTTCTGACTCAATAGAAGCCATTTTTTCTTGCTCCTGTTGAATAGCCTCATCATCGATGTAGATTGCTTGTGCCATAACAGCAGCCATTTCACAGATTTGCTCTGTCTTGGCCTGTAACTCCTGAACGAGAAAAGCAAATACATATGCTCAAATAACACAAATTATGTAACTAAGAAATGGATCATCAAGCACTGCTTGTGGTAAAAAGGGCTAGATCACTAACCTGTTGTGCTCAATCAACAAGACAAAAAATACTGTCTAGTCTAGAGTTGAGGCAATTAAAAAATGAGATGACTGTGTATCCTAGGATTGGATGAACCATCAATACTTGCCATTTTTTCTTATACCTCTGTACACTGAACTAATGATAGTTCACGACAGGAATAAATTATATTTGAAGCTAAGAGACATCTTGCAAGTCTCACTTTTTATACCTTCCCTGATTAGGTAAAAAAATCTTGTGAACCACATTGTTCCATCTTACAGCTGAAAGAAGGTTTTCATTCACCACTTGTTACACAGTCTTCAAAAAAATAATTTTTGACCCTTTCACACCATGTCAATGGAAAGGTATATCGTACACTACCTTGTAATTGTTCAGTTTCATGCAGCTGGCATCGAGTCTATTTGCTTTGATAAGTTGAGAGACCTAAGGGCAGAATAAACACAAATGTGGTTTTCTTTCATTACAAATAATAATGAACAATATTTATTAAAATGTGAAAAATGAAGATTTAATAAATGAAAAAAATCATTTACAAGATCAACATATCTTGATGTAACTACATTTTATTGATATGTGGACAGATCAAGTGAATTAACTAATAACAAAGGGGGAAAAAGGCACACAAACCAACCTCTGGAAGTCTCAATGATTTTGGATCATATTCTCACCTCCTCTCCTATAAATTTGGCTTTTAATCACTTTATTCCAGTATCCCCTATACAGACTAATGTGCTGATCAATTCAAGGCTTCAACATACCCTCCCCGGCAACCCACAAGCATTTGACTGTGCCCCAGGGGTGGGAAGTTTTGTTCCTACAGAATACACTTGTCTTATCTTGAAATAATGGTGGTCATGAGCAAATGCATTGTAGCATGATGTTTATGAGTTAAAAACCAAACAATGGCAATGAAAACTAATATGTGACTTGGCTTAATTCTATAACATTAATGAAACATTTGAATGCAATTTTGGCCTGGGGATCTGGAATTTGAAAGAACCAATCTTCCGAAGTTCAAATGCCTGGGGGTTGCCTGTGAGGGGGGAGGGGAGGGGAGTTGAAGCTTCAAATTGACTGACACATAAATTGGATGCAAAATCAAAATCAAATGTATCTTGTTTTCACAAGCAAAAAAAAAAGAAATGCTGTTTGAGACTAACCTGGTCCCTGTACTTTGCCATGATAAGTTCCAAAGCTGACTGATATTCTGCTACTGATGTTTGAAGCTCAATATTTTCTTGTTGCAATTCTCGTATACGAGCATTCTCTTCTTGACTGCCTAAGATAAGTGTGCTGCGTGGCCTGCGATTTGCCACTTCATTTAGGTCACTGACTATGTCTTGATACTGTAACACAAAATGGAATGCTCATCAGCCTTCACAATGAGCAACCAAGCCAGGGAAAAACCAACTACTCAAATTGTTAAGGCACCCCGATTTAAAACTGTTCAAGCCTAAATTGATATTCAGGATTTATTTTCTACGATTACTTTAAATTTGTAGTGTTTTTCTCATTAGCATGCATGATCATTGACTAGCTAGTATATACTGGTAGGAATGCTTACTGATTGCGTCCACAGCCCGTTCAAAAACGTTATGGTGAAATGTCTCAATCAAAATGGCCTTCCTGTAACAATGTTGCGACAAACAGAAGTTTGATATTCCCAAGCAAGCTACGACTACACAGTCACCCAGACACAGTTCAGGGTGAAACGTAACGACGGCCGCCGATCTTTCAGTAAAGTATCTCATGGCTTTTTCAGAGCTTGCCTTCTGCAAAATGGCATTCTAATGACAATGAATATAACTGTTCGGGCTAGGTTACACTTTATAATAGCTCGACGACTACAGGTTCTTTAATTGTTTTTCTAGATCATGTATATTGACATTTTTACCTGCTTCATAGCATCTAATTTACAGTGGAGACCGTTTGCTTGACTAATGAGTGCATCTGCTGAGCCATTATGCTCACGAAGACGACATGCTAGGCGTTTCGCATCCAACAGTAACTGGTCCATTTCGCTATGGTACTTACATAAGCAATCGCTTTAGAGTCGACTCTCCATTTTGAATTTTGTGAAACAACCGCTGATCATGTAACTGTGGTATAGAATTTGATTACCTTGTATTTAAATATATAAAATTTTTCACACTGTTTTAACAGGTCAGGATGGCCGAGCGGTCTAAGGCGCTGCGTTCAGGTCGCAGTCTACTCTTGTAGGCGTGGGTTCGAATCCCACTCCTGACATGTAATTTTTCTCGATGTTTCTTTTAGCTTTCTCACCTAACTCAAATTTTGTTCACGCCAATTTAGGCTTAAACCCCCTCTTAGCTTTTTAGAAAAGTGTGGTGGAAGATAATGGTAAACTGCCTCTTCTAGCCAGACTGCTTGGTATGCCGTGATGACAACTGACCACGGACAAGCGATATTATTGATGATCAATAGTATGCTCAAGCTCGGAGAGTTTGTCCACTGAAAAGTCAAATTAACTTTTGGAATCGCTTAATATTTCTAAACAAACATCTGATATTCCTAGGAAGCTTGAAAGAACTCGTCGATGGAAAATATGTGGAGGTTCTGACTGCCGGGCATTTCATCAACTCTTTGAGACCGTGCCCGGCCGCCGGGCATTCATCAGTCATCAACAAACGAACCGAGGAACACGTACAGACAGGGAGCGGTTTATAAGATCAATAGCTCCGACTGTCCAGCCTTCCACCCTTTCGGAGAGACTGGCAGAAACCTCACAACAAGACTGACTGAACACAAGCGAGCGACAAGAAAAGGTGATGTCAACATTCACATAGCTGAACCTGACATCATCTACTTGAGAACCATACCATTGACTAGGGCTCTGCGGAACGCCTAACCTACAGAACTAACTATTTTCAATTCCATTCGCTCTGACGAAGGGCTAACGCTCGAAACGTCAGCTTTTTAACTCTTTACGGTGGCCAATTTACAATTTCAACTTAGTTGATATTACCAAATTACCTTGTTACCCCCATCGACGCAGTACCACAGTTTCTTTCGAAACTTACCTCCTTTAACTATTTTCAATGACTGACTCTGGAAAGCTGGTTTACTAACTAACAGACTTCCCTCAACAGGTGTCAACTGCTACCGGCATCATACAAACGAACCGGACAGAACGACCTAACTTCACCGATGGATCATGAGAAACAGTCCGATAAGTCTTACAGCTGACAACGTACAGCTAAACTGACCAATCAGTTTACACGAACACGGCACTTGACCCTGACGATGACTTCTACTCGGATGTCGAAATGTCAGGCTCCAATGCTAATACAACAGTCCATCTCAGGACTACACTCAGCCGGATGATCCCGTTATGTCCTAAACTATCACAAGTGCACACAGTATTCACACCAACACACACATACTTTATCACAAGTGCACACAGTATTCACACCAACACACACGTACTTTATCGAATTTCCCCAAAGAAGGCTCCTCTAAGACATTGTTTTTCAGTGATTAACTATTTTTTAGTTCAAGTTATTTGTCCAAGTCTCTGTTCTCCTTTTGCCGTTTTGTTCTCCTTTTATTTGCTTCAAGAATCTCCCAGTCTTATAGTTTAGTTTCTTTGCGACGCAATCGAAGTCACCAAGATTCTTCAAGTTGATAAACAATCGCTCACAAGTCAGCTTGAAGACTGAATATAAACTGAAGGACTTCCGCTTAACTCCCATATTCCTCCATAAAAGATTCCCGTTTATCTGCAGAGAAAAGTTACGATCGTCACCATCAACAAATGGTGCAACCACATGAAGGAGTAAAGGATGTACCAGGGTTCTTTGAGGTCTGAAAAGAGCTCTTGGTCCAAATGCATGATTAACATTTTCCTCGGCCATTTTTGTGTTTGGGTCAGCAGAGTATGTTTCTTTCTTTTCAGGCGCAAGCTACAAGTCCTCTTTGTTTTGAAAGCACTTTGCTTAATTTCAACAAATCAAGCAATTTTGTGCCTCGAGTGACTTCAAAGTACGACGATTTGACGAAGTCTGTTGATTTACAAATTTACAAACAGCACTTGCAAGAACAGGTTTGTTGGTAGCTGCATTGTTGTGGGATCCAGTCTTTCTCTAAAGCCTTTTTCGGCATCTTATGGAGCATTTCATCAGACGTTGTCTGCAACAGTAAATGCAGTGAGAGTATTCTGTGGTCACATCTCAAGGGCAGTAGATCCAAAAATTGCTCAGAACAAGCAAGTTTATGATGTATTGAAGTTTCTAAGATCAACGCAAGAACCCGTTGCATTTTAAAGTTTTACAAACAATCAATAGACTATACTTCCTCTCCAACAATCAGCGGGTCGTGAAATCTAAATATAACGGGCAGTTTGTGCATTCATTAGCTTTTCATACCATTCCCAAAAGGGATAGGAAACTTGGAATGCGCCCACAGGAAATTTACCAGCAATCAACTAGGAATTTTTGAAAGGACCAAATAACAAGACGAGACCGAGAGGGGTCTTCATTGTTTGATAATGGCTAGGTAGGTAGGTAACTTTATTTCAACTCGGGTTGCTGAGGCTGATTAGGCCCCAAGCAATACGTGCTAATATGCCGAGAAAGAATAAAAAAAAATCAATTAATAACTAACATTCTAAAAATCTTAAGATTATTACGTTACAAATTTAACTCTCTAATAACGAGCATTCTTAAATTCCTTAAGGGTTGCCCTTGAACGTAATTCATCCTGTAAAGAGTTCCACACTTTGGCACCGATAAAAGTTGTAGATTTTAAGCCGACGTTTATAGTTTTCTTATGTGGGACAACAAGCTTGTTGGTGACTCTCAAGCACTTCACATTATTACGTACAACGAACAAGTCACTT